AAGGAAGGAAGGAAGGAAGGAAGGAAGGAAGGAAGGAAGGAAGGAAGGAAGGAAGGAAGGAAGGAAGGAAGAAAGAAAGGAGAAAATAATGGGAGAGGACAGAGGGAGGGGAAGAAGGAAGGTGAAAGGTATAGGGGAAGGATTGAAGGAAGGCTGGGAAGATGGTAGGGAAAAGAAAGAAAGTGAGGAAGAAAATAAATTTGTGGCTGGCTTTTATTTAAACTTGTTAATCCCTAGTAAAGCATGTCCCATAGATCCGCTTCTCTCATTTTCTGGGTGGGCCCTGCAGTGAGAGAGCTGTGTGGGTGGCATTTCCACCTGTGATTCCTGCTTTATGTGGGAAATGAATTTGCCTGTTATGTGAGAAACAGTGGGAAATGAGCAAGCTTTACTGCGCTGTGATCTCACCTTGAAGTCAGGAAGGATAATGGCTCATAAAACTTGGGAGTGGGAGGGACGGGGCCTGAGCGCTTCTCCTGATGTGCTGATTGGGAAATAACTGAGCATGATGGAATGTTGCTGTTGCTGTAAGGGCTTATTAAGCCTGAGGTCATGAGGCAGGAGCTGCCTCCAACCATGGAGTGCAAACTCATGTTGTTGGGCTTGTAGCCTGCATGAGGGGGATGATACTCTGATAATGTGACTCTGGTCGGTCATTTCAAGCAGGGAAGTCCACCCAGCTTTTCTGCAAGCCTCATTACATCTGCCCTGAAGAAAGCTATAAACCCTTGGTTTTCTGACTGCCCCGAAGCCATCGGATCTTTTTTAAAAACCAGACTCTTGAAATCTGTTTTTCAAAACTCTGCTCACCTTACCTACATTTGGCTGAACAAAAGAGTATAATGTGAATAAATTCTGATAGCAGTTTCCAAGAACCTTAAAACATTTCATGTCAACTGGGTTAATATATGGATTTGAAACCTTTTTAATACTGAACCTTAAGATATTTGTTTTTTAATGATTATAATTGAAAACAACCTCATGTATGGAAGTATCCCTGTTTCTTGTGAAAAGCCAAATTAAGAACTGACTTGAATGAACATGAAGGTGGGACTGTATCTTTTTATAAGGTCATTTCTTCATTTGAACATTCATTTAATTTTAGGTACTATAGGGTCAGAGGGAGGGCGACCAACTGTTTTGGCTTCTGGGAGATTGAGAAGGATCAGCATAACAGTGCCTGAACCATGGGCTTTCTCTGATTGCACAGAACACAAAAGAGGCTACTCATTTACCAAACTCTATGTGGTTTTTTTTTTTTTAATTTAAACTTTAATTTTAAAATGATTGACTGCTAAAGTTAATCAGTGAAATCGTACGGAAGTGTATCCATTACTTTCCTACTGCTGAGATAAAGACCGTGATCAAATGCAGCTTAGAGAAGAGAGGGTTTGTTTACTATTAAACAAGGGACTGGAGTCCATGATGGCAGAGGGAAGGCCTGGTGGCCGGGGCAGGAAGCTGAGAACTCACATTTTGAACCGCAAGCATGACACAGAGTGACCAAGCTTGTGCTGGCTGGTGTGTTTGAGCTATCAGAGCGGACCTCCAGTGGTCTACCACCTCCCACGAAGCCTCCCTACTCACTGGAGACAACAAAAGACACCTCACTAGATCCGCCACACCAAACTTTAGCACGATGACATCCATGTTTGTTTGTTTTTCCACTCGAAACTCCCTTGAGTTTTGCTTTTTTTTTGCTGTTTGAAAAACAGCCCTAACTGAATATTGGAATGATAGTTCTATTATTATTAATTATGTGACATAATAGCTGGATTGGACAAAGCAATGGGGGAAGGAACAGAAAGAGGAAGGAAGGGGGAGGCTGAGGTTTGGCAAGCACAGTGTATGAGATACAGCTAGGAAATTGATTTTGTATGCACTCAACAGCCTGGGACAAGTCAGAGAAAGACTCACAAAGCCTGCAGTATGGAAGAAATAAAGCCGGGGTACAGTTAGTCTGTCAGATCCGTGGCCATGAGTTGCTCACAGGTTCAGATGGCTTCTGTTCCAGTTGGCTCCTGTCGCATTATAGAGGTTCGGTGGATATCATCAGTTAAATGAATGTGTAAATCTGAACCCCCCCCCCGAGTTTGTATTACTGATTCCTATCCCATGCTAAAAGCCACATGCACTGGGCAGGTGCTCTACCACTGACCTTCCTCCACAGCCTAGGAGCCACAGCTTAGTTTACAGACCTTGATTTATGGAAATAGCAACTTCCTGCCCACAGTTAACAAACTGCTTGTTTTAATTTATATAAATGTTAAAGTGTCTTTTGTTGCATCTGATTTCCTATGGAATATGCAGGGTTATTTCTTAATCTGAGAGTTTGCCTGAAAGTAGATGCAGTCTGTAGAAGAACAATGATTATGGTTCCAATAATCACGTGGGTCTGTAAAGGGAGTTTACTTGCCCAGACACGTAAATCTGTTTCTGGATATCC